TAAATCGATTTATAGTCTCTGCGTTGACCTAAACTTAGAGGGACGGGAGATACATGTACGTTTTCTATTTTTGCTCGTTCAACCTCTGAATATTTTTAGCGATTTCCTACCAAACCATTGAATTTAGGGAAAATACGGTATCAGCTTGTTCAGCGGTTCCAAATACGTGCGTATAAATGTTTTTGTTCATGTTTTGGACACTTTCATATTTTGAGAATTTTTGAATATTTTCATGGGCTTATAGCCTTGGAAAATTATTGGCTAAAAATTTTTTTGTTCAGGAAACTTCTGAAAAAATTCTCCAAGACTAATTCGACCCTCCTAAATCGATTTCTAGGCTCTGCGTTGAGCTAAACTTGGAGGGACGGGAGATACATGTACGTTTTTTATTTTTGCTCGTTCAACCTCTGAATATTTTTAGCGATTTCCTACCAAACCATTGAATTTAGGGAAAATACGGTACCAGCGTATTCAGCGGCTCCAAATACGTGCGTATAAATGTTTTTGTTCATGTTTTGGACACTTTCATATTTTGAGAATTTTTGAATATTTTCATGGGCTATAGCCTTGGAAAATTATTGGATAAAAATTTGTATGTTCAGGAAACTTCTGAAAAAACTTTCCAAGACTAATTCGACCCTCCTAAATCGATTTCTAGGCTCTGCGTTGAGGTAAACTTAGAGGGGCGGGAGATACATGTAAAATTGTTGTTGTGGGCAACACATAGGTTAGACTTTTTTAAGAAATATTCTGTACGATCACTAACTTTAATTCGATAATAGTTACGATTTCTTTTTCAGGAGGATACCTGCAGAAAATTGTGTGGAAGGAGCAACATTCGAAGATGTATGTTCCTAGTTCTCAGGCGTTATATTAAAATCGTCTGGGACTAGGAGTATATTTTTGTTGTTGCTCATATCATCACAGCTACAGGATAGCAAAGGGGATACAACTGTGATGTGAAGAAATAAATGTAATAAGAATTAAGTGGTCTTAGTGTTAGGGCTTTTTAATTTTATAATAATTTATAAATAACTCTTAGAAAATATTTTAAAAAATGCTCCTCACGAAAATAGATTTTTTTATGTATTTAACATAAGACTAGTTTGAATTGAAGCAAAATTCTGGAGAGGGGAAGATTTCACAAAAAATACCCTCTTTCCAGGATAATTGAAATTAAATTTTAAAATTTCGGTAGCAGACGTGAGCGGAACTCCCCTCCTATTCCAGGCTGGACCGGGAGGGGATTTTTTGCTCCATTTTTTGCCGATTTTTAGTTCAGGGGCCGAAACAAAGGGGATTTTTTGCTCCATTTTTTGTCGATTTTCAACAAAAAATGTGATGGACGAATTTTAGTTAAATTTTAAGCAAAATCCAGAAAATTTTTTGTTAAATTTTTTGTCGATGTACTCCCCTCTCGGTCCAGGCTGGACCGAAAGGGGTATTTTTTGGAGCAAAAAATACCCCCCTCTTCCAGACTAATTTGAATTAAACTTTCAACAAGAGTATCCAATAAAATTAAAAAAAAACTGACGTCATTTTTGAGTCTCTCAGGAAAATGGGTTTTTTGCTCCATTTTTTGCCGATTTTTAACAAAAAACGTGATGGGCGAATTTTAGTTAAATTTTAAGCAAAATGAGGGGAATTTTTTGTTAAATTTTTTGTCGATGTACTCCCCTCTCGGTCCAGGCTGGACCGAGAGGGGTATTTTTTTGGAGCAAAAAATTCCCCCTCCTTTTCCAGGCCAAATTCAATTAAACTTTAAATAAATTATGTTTCCAATAAAATTTTAGAAAAAACTGACGTCATTTTTGAATCTCTCACGAAAATAGGTTTTTTTGCTCCATTTTTTGCCGATTCGGTCCAGGCTGGACCGAGAGAGTTATTTTTTTGGAGCAAAAAATTCCCCCTCCTTTTCCTGACCAATTTTAAAAAAATTCCCTCTCCAGAATAATTGAAATTTTAAAATTTCGGTAGGTAATTCGAGGGTGATTTTTTGTAAAATTTTTTGTCGATGTACTCCCCTTCTGTTCTAGGATGGACAGAGGGGAAATTTTTTCACAATATAATCCCTTCACTTTTTCCGACAAATTTTTAAAAAATTATTTTCATGAGAAAATAATTTTTTAAAAATTTGAAAAGAATGATCTTTGCAAATTATTTTATATTTTCATATAAAAAAAATTGTCTCGCTTCAATTGAACCTTTAAAAATAAATGTAAAAATATAAGTGTTTAGTTACTCATAGAAAGGAAGGTTTGAATAAAATACAGATTGGATGAAAAACAAAATTCCTTTATTAATACAATGCTTACATTCCAGCTAACAGCATTAATTAATGCGCAATCCAAATATAACCAATGTGTGGCAAATTGCATGTTTACAATAAATAATTAGTATAAATTACTTGAAATTTTAAATAATGAAAAAAAAATGAATTAGAAGTTCTCTCTTGATGGATATAAAAAAATGAAAACTATTAAATTTTTAAGTAATACAAAAATTATATAAAAAAGTGTAAATAGTACAAAACTATACGTTAAAATATAAGATATGGATAAGCAAATGCCCACTATTTTTCATAAAATTAAATCGATAAAAACCCACATAAAATACAAATGCTGGGCGAAAATTAAATTATTAACATCAATAAGACACTTGAAAATAAGCGTCTTACTCTCAAGTAAATTATTGATGCATACGTTATAGAAGTCGACGAAACGTATACGACAGGGAGGGAACTTAATAAAAATATAAGATAGTTCCAACACCCTTAAAAAATAGACGACTTCTACAATCCCTGTATAAACAAAAACTTCATTAATTAAAGCACAGTTTAAAAGAAAATGCCGTTATTTTCACTTAAATAATAAATCTCAAGATCAAAAAAAATGTTTAATCCAATGCTCTAAACATTGCTTTAATTAATGATATTTTAAATAGATATAAATCATGTAATTAATAAAAATTACTTTGTTCGATCACTATCGAAACTGATAATGATAGAACGCCAACGTCTACGTTTCTAAATATTTTTCCGCAAAATAATACGTTAACTTTCTTAGATGGAATTATAAAATTAGTAAAAAAATCACGACGTTAGTTTGAAGGGTAACCCCAAACAAACGTTTTGACAAGAAACGGCGACGTTGTTAAAAATAACATTGAATACTTGCAAACCTAGTTAACCACTAAACATGCAATAGTAATAATGCTTAATAAAATAATTTTACCATACGGCACAGACATAACGAAGTGGCAAATAACCAATACAATAATTATATTTCCTATATAAATCAAACCGTTCTACATAACCTCAATTGGATTGGCTTAAGTCATACTCGATTAGAGTTATAGAACTCGAATTAAAATTCGTAGTTCGTTTTTATCAAAAATTATATTTCCTTATAGCTCTAGAGTATGCTACAAACCGACATACACAGGTTACATTAAGGTCGGTGTTATATTATACTCGAACCTTAATTGGCTAACGTAAAAAATGTTAGTCTGCACTACCTTGACGTGCGTCTGCGCATGAGCCGCAATATATGCGTGGTACAGTGCCTATTCGCGCATATGCCATGCCAGCGTCTAATGTATTGTCCAAAGGTCAACCACATGCCTATGTAAGTACTAGCATTTCGGCAGTTTCTCTCGAATATTTGAGCAAGTCATGGCGAACATTCGTATTATCCTCTGACAGCTTTCATGTCGAGTCATTTTGGACTCGAATAGCTCCGTAACGTTTTCTTTTTCGATTGCTCGCGCAATACCTAATATCTCCTAGTTTCAATTATTCATAAAATCTACATGCCTTTGGCAACCCATCTTTTGAAAATACGGTGTAAGGTTTTCGAACGACGCATAAACAAAATTTAAATTGCCAAAGTAATCAATAAATTAATCGATTATTATATATTTATACAAAGGGTGGAAAGCAAATTAAAAATTTCAAATATTCAACGCTCTTTTCAATGTATTTTTTTTATTAACGCTCACGCGAACTTTAATTCATTTCACCCTATGTATACATACATATAGGGTGATCCACTTAAGGGGGCTCACTATGGAAATTTCAGAAACGGTAAGGGGTACAATGTAGTTAAATTATGAGTTTTCTGAAGCGAAATTTTGACTTTTATCACTTTTAATAATTGTACAACGAAAACGATCCTTCAGTATCTAATGCTGACAAAGGTCCTTATGAGGTGTTGTCCAGGCATATACCACACAGGGTGTTTTCTAAGTCCATGACATAATTTTAGGATTGGGTTCCTTGGATAAATTTAAAAAAAACTTGTTGAAACGGAATGAGACTCTATTAAGAACCGCGTCTCCCGAACTCAAATTTATAACAACCGATGCAGATTATTAATTTATGCAATACGTCAAAATACCTACAGGGTGTCCCGAAATTCATGCAACAAAATTTGGTCACAGATTCTTAAGACAAATTTAGTGGACCCGTATTTTTTATTTTTACCAAATGGCCCCCTCTTTCGGAGTTACAGCCCCCTGAAGTCCACCCCCTAAGAATAATCTTGTTTTTATATCTCAGAACCCTGTTGTACGAGAGTCACTAAATTTGGTACACAGGGGTTTTATGACATGTGGAATCTGATAGTGCTACGTTTTTAGGCGGGGAACCCCCTTAAGACAATTTTTCGTGGGCTCCTTGTCTTTGGAGCCAAAAAAATTTGGTCGCATGTTTAAATTTCTTAAAAATTATCAGTCCACTAGAAAGCCATTAAATTTAGAAACTTTTTGTCCCTTTATACTTTTTTCGTAAAACGCAATGTTTTCGAGAAAAATATCAAAATGCGATCGAATGTATATCGTGATTCGCCATTTTCCTCGAAAACATTGCTTTTACGAAACAAATATCAAGAGACAAAAAAGTCAATGGCTTTCAAGCTAACTAATAAATTAAAAAAAATCGAATTTGCGACCAAATTTTTCTGGTTCCAAAGACAAGGGGGCCCACGAAAAAGTGTCTTAAGGGGGTTTCTCGCCAAAAAGCGTAGCACTGTTGGATTCCACATGTCATAAAACCCCTATGTACCAAATTTAGTGAATCTCGTACGACATGGTTTTGAAAATGACATCTTAGGGGCAGATTTCAGGGGGCTGAGAAAAAATACGGGTCCCCTAAATTTGTCTTAAGAATCTATGACCAAATTTTGTTGCATGAATTTCGGGACACCCTGTATAAAGTGTGTCACACAAAGTTGTTCAAAAAAGAAAAACTATCTAGTGATCTTTGAAAACCACAAGGACATGATACATGATTATTGTAGTTTAACTTTTTATGTATTAACGTTTCCAAAACTTCCATTGTGCAACATCCTTAAATGAATCAGTGGCATCCCGATGTTCTGTACACATGAAAACACAACAAATTCTAGCGGTCAAAATTAGACGATCAGATGTCACTTTTTAATCAAAGCAATTGCAAAAAAAATACAAGTGAATTTAATTAAAGGCATGTTTGTCACTTCTGTAATTGTAATTACTTTGGCTGTAAAAAAAGAAACAAGTTCTCGAATACCGAATTTTATTTAAATCTTATGGCGCCATCTTGCGGCTGAACAGAGCAACTTTGGGCAGAGGTGTTTAATTGAATTTCGTTATTTTGACCGGAAGAATTTGTGGCGTTTCCATGTATATGGAATATTGAGATGTCACATTTAATAAAAATAATAATAAAAATAATAAAAAAGAATAAATAACATAAATGCTATGAGCACTTTACGCGTAACTTTGCGAATGGAGTTACGCCATATTGGTCCATTAAAATAAATACTAAGGACAAAATTCGCGGGTCAGTTCGACCGCATTAATAAAAAATCTCCATAAAAATATTTAAATTAACTAGAAACATTTTTCTAACTATACATTTTTGTAAAAAAAATATTTATATATACAAAATAGCAATATGCTATAATTTTCAATCAGGCATTTTTTTTATTTCAGTAATTAAAATATTTAATAATAATAAAAAGCTTTCTACAACAGCAGTAAGCGACAAACTGGTATAAAAATTTCGACGTCAGAGATGCATCCAAGACGATTAAGAAATAAAAGAACATTTGTACCTTCATTTTATTATACATTTCCCCTAACGATCACGTCAAAAAATATTAAGATCGCTAATAGGCGAGAACTTTGAAAATATCAGTCAACCAGTTTTGGTGATATGAACAGATATGTCTCTATATCCTGTGCTATATACAAATCCTCAAATAAAAGTAGCTTCTTGCCACTGTCAAAAAATATAAATAAGTAATACGTTCAAAGTTCCCCACAGAAATATAAACATGTACCTCTGCGCTGTCGAATATGGCAGTGAACTAAAGTTAAATGAATTTAAGTACCCTACGAACAAATCATATAGGTGGACGACCTTCGTAACGTAACTTTGGACTGAAGGACCACGAATAATTGTTCATGTAATCACAACACTGGGGCTCGAATAGGCAACTTAGGCAAACGAAAGTAATGATAACTAACTGAAAGGCCAGTGAAGCCCTGAACATACGTTTGAACCAAGGCTGTAGGCCTGGGTCACTTCCCGGGTCGTCGCCATCTCCGTCCCTGGACTTGTCGCCCGCCATACCTTTGTCCTTTGGCTGTAAACTGTAACAAAAGAGATAACCGTCAATGTCAATGTCAATAATCTAATGTCGATCAAAAATTGAAAAGCAAAAATAATATCAAATATATGTCAGTGTCAGGAGTGGGATTTCCATTAATTCAACACTAAAAAATATTAAATCAATAATATATTGCGTACTTTTCCGTATTTTCAAAATTGAGGCATTTTTTTAAAGGAACGAGTTATTATTCTACAATGGACAAACAGTGAGACACGTTAGCACGATAATAAACGAAGACAAGTGTCATTTGAAGAATACCGGCCAGAGGACTTAATCTCCTGTTTCTGAATTTCTTATGGACTAGAATAGTATATGCCTTACGAAACGCCTAACCAGCCCGGATGTTATTAAACCAGAGAAGATTGCAAACCAAGCTAATGATGGTCATGATATAAAGAGATAAAAAATTGACCGGTTATAAATATCCAGTATTCTATACGCAAAATAATTTATAGTCTGTATACCAGAAGATGAAAACAAATTAATAACTACTCTGCGGACTAATGCTCTAACAACTAAGATCATTCGTCAGCTGAACCTATCGGATATACAGGGTGTTAATGAGAAGTTTTGCCAAACTTTAATGGCGTATTCTACCGATGAAAATAATAAAGTTTTGCCCCATAAAAATGTTTGATAGGACGCTTCCTTACGGAGATACAGGGTGTTAAAAGTTTCAAATATTTATATTATTTTTCCTGTAACTTCACTGGCATAAAAGATTTAAGCTATAAAATTTGTGGGATGACATTTTTTTAGTAGGGACTATTTTTTCGTGGATAACTTATTCCAAAATACACTCCAGTGGCTAGTTATTGGGGGAGTGGGGACCATTTTTGAAAAATCGTACGCCACTGGTTTTTTAAATAATTTTAAATGCTTTTAAAATGTACAATCAATTTGTGGCAATAAAGTATTCTAGTAAAAATCCTAGCTACGCCCATGACGACCAGCATTGAATTATACCAGCAATATTTAAAAAAACAGAACCATTCGTCAGTCGCGTTTCCAATTTCATAGATGTGGCATTTACACCGCACCTGCAAATTTTAATATTTATCTTTGCAGGATGTTTCGTTCTTCAACGTGTATAAGAAATTCGTCCTTTTGTAGTTCTTTGCGTGCGCGTGAAACGTTTCGCTTTGAGTAAATCGAAATGGATATATTGCTTAATTCGATATCTTTAAACGAGTTACCGTGAGAATGAAATAAATGATTTCGTTAGATACGACATCTCCGATGGGAGGCAACGGGGATGACACTAATGATATACGCTCGTTTACTCGGTACACACTAACATAATTCCGGAATGAGGCATTTCCTACGAAGACTCCGTACCCCGGCGTTGTAAAGTTGCCGGGTTATGAAAAATGATTAGTGGCGAGCCCATCTTTAAAGTTGAAGCAATAACAAGTGGATCTCTGTGGAACGCCGGATTACCGCGAGGTTCTCTGCGGGCCCGCTGGGCTCGAGATCGCGCTGCTTAAGATTAATCGACCGCTTATCGACTCGTGAGCGGACATGGACTGCCTTAATTAATAATAATAAATAAACAACAAATCACTTATCGTGGCTGAAACATAATCTCCGTTCTAAGATGAATGTTGCGCAACAAATCGTACCATAATTCATTATCCCCGCGTTTGCTTGCAGATACCACCGATAAGGAGTCCCGTGTAACGTTTTTAATTGCGCTACACCGTGTAAAGTTCTAAGAAGACACAAAACCATGAAACGACAATATGTTCAAAAGTCGTGATTTAGTTTTAAGCACTTCTATCAGCCACTTAAAGCTCCTCATCCGTTATAATTCTTCAGATATCGAACTATTAACTTGTAGGAGTTTTCAAGGCGTTAAATCAAAAGTTATTTTGATTTAACGAAACAAGTGTCTGTGAAATTTTAATATTTCTCTAAATTTATTGAAAAGTTATACGAATATAGAACGAAATAGAAGATTACTTCTGTTTCTGATGATGATCGGTGATGGTGATGATAATAATAACGATCGGTGTGATGATGATGATCGGTGTGATGATGATGATCGGTGTGACGATGATGATCGATGTGATGATGATGATGATCGGTGTGATGACGATAACCGGTGTGACGATGATCAGTGTAATGATGATGATGGTGATCATCATCAGCAGATTTACGTAGCTTTTTCTAATGACTGGTTAATAACGTAAAAACCCATCGTCGGTATTATTTATCGTCAGAGATGTTGGTACTTTCTTTTTTACATTTTTATAATCAAAATTTTTCATATTCATTAGCAAAATATTAAAACAACGAAATCCTACCGAGACATTAAGAAAATAGTTACAAGGGGAATCCTACTTTTGTAGCTTTTATTGCAATACAAAGTATTACAAACTACAAACAAATATATGTATACATACCTACAAAATTTTATTCGAGGATAGGTATTTCACATTTTGCTGATTTATGAAAGGATTAAAAAATAAAATCGTAAAGAAGTAAAAACCCACATCTTTGAAGAAAAATGACATTGACAATTGTCACTAAATAGTAATATATTATACATTAAGCTTAAGAAATTAAGCAAGATAATTCCGGGAAAATATTAGTAGGTTTGTATTGTACTACAAAAATTAAACCGATGATTGCTGAAAGACGAAATTCAAATTTTGAATAGAGAAAAATGGCATTTGGAAAATTTTATTTTCGTATAGCTTTTCAAATAAACGATAAAATCGAAATATGAAAATTTCGCAGTTTTCGAACATCAACAAGAACAATTTTACTTCAATTTAATCATTTCTCTCTCTCTCTCTCTCTGAGAGCAGCAATGTTTATTGTATTTAAACACCCTGTATAGCAACAAACGTTATCGATGTATAAAAAAGGTGTACCACAAGTGGTTTGTGATCAATCTTTATGCAATTTATGGGTCAAAAACTAATAATCTAAAATAAATAACCATTTGTTTGTGACATATGTGCATTTTTAATCACGTCTCGTACAAAAAGGTACAATAACATACAACTTGCGAGAAGTACCCGGAATATTCATTGTAACGTCGAAAATTAGACCGCCCACTAGATAATTAGGCGCAATTAGACAACAAAGCCAGTGCGTCTCTATAAAGCATAAAAACGGCTCCAGTTAACATTAAGGGCACGATAATCGCCGTAGTTATTTTAGTTTTAATCTGCCGCTAAGTGAACATGAATGATCAAGTGCCGTAACATTTCCCTAAGCCCAAAAACCATAATGTCTCGGCAGCGCCTTGGCGCATCACTGCTAAATAGGCAGAAATGAAGGCCCCTCGACGCCGCTACTTGCATCGCATATGAATTGCCTGCTTTGCCTACAACTGTTCGAACATCGGATCAAATACAACCATCTCCCGACTACTACGGACTTGTACAGACGCAGACCGTGCCGTATTTTCACTTATTTCCTACTTCTGTGCATGTACAAACCAGATTTTCGTGATCTAAGGTTAAAGTTTGATAAAACGGCGGCCGGTCGGCCACTCCCCGGCAAAGGGTGGTCAGCGGCCAGCCGATGCCGGCCCGAAGGAATATTTCCCAAATAACTTTCGCAAGGATACATATTAACAATTTTATAAATAATAAAAAAAAACTAAAACTGTTTTTTTTTTAAATAGTTTATCGAAAATAGGACAGTTAGTACAACGTATTAATTATGAAGAAAACTTGAAATAACGACGGCGTCAAACTAAAAAATTACGTAACACTTATTTTATATAAACGACCGCAACGAAAACGGTAATATGCTAATCAAAATGGCGGAATTTATATGCCTTATTCATTTCTTTAAGCTCAAACAAAAGACGTTGGGTTATAAAATTGATTAAAATTCTATTGTCGTTTAAACTTATTGCCGGATGCCACACTTAAGAGGGGGTAAAGTGCAACAACATTGGCTGCCTGGACACTTATAAATATTACGATAAAATCATGTGATTTTATTTTATATAACTTGAGTACGTCGATTAAACCGTCATGTCCCTTCGCGGCGGCCTTAGCTAATAAGTGTTAGCGAATGTAAAATTAATAAATTTAACGATTCTCCAAAACTACTTCCAATATTAAGATTAGTGAAACTAGATTTAGAAGTATAAGTTGTATTTTATACACAAATTCATTGTTCGTAGTCGATTTGGTGCAACTTTTATTTGAAACACTTATTTTGTGTCATGACATCGACAATCTCTTTCTATTTCGTCATTTAAATAAAAAATTCTAGCAACTTTGTACACAAATACACATTCTATGATTCCGAAAAACATAACAATTCAGCAATCCGTCAATACAACAATACGTTTGCTTTGGCACAAAATGAGTAAATAGATCTAAAACAGGCATATTTTAATTTATTTAAGGTCTTAAATGAGGTCAAAATGAAAAAAGAAAAAATAAGGGTTTCATATTCTTTAAGTTTTTGATGTAGCTGTCATCGCAAAAAATACCCCTAAGTGTTTTGTGTTTATATATTTTACAAAAAATTTCACTTTGGTTTTAATCAGAAAAATAAAGTTTCAACCTCCCCTCTTTGAACGGCTGTCTCCCTTTTTGTTTTCGAAGTCGTATCGCCTCCTGACATATCCCGACTTGCAATGAGTAACAAAACGGCACAGAAAAATCATCAATTTTCATCTTACCTTAGGCGGTCCGGAATCGTAGCGGAACAAGCGGCAGTCCTGACAATCAACGACCTGCACCGCTGCTGCAAAGCCTTCAGCTCCTCTTCCGCCGCGTTCAATTTTTCTCTCATTATGAGTCTTGCTTTGGAATCCGGCGACAGACCAACTTCGAGCTGCCTCACCAGCCGCCGAATTGCCGCCAATCTGCCCTGCCTCTCGCCTATCTCGTGCTCGGAACCTTCGTCCGAAATGCCGCTGTCCGAAAACGAGCCCTCGGTGAATATCTCCTGTAGCGGGTGGTAGCCCTGCAACAAAGAGAAAAAATTAAATCGAAATGTAAACGAAAATTTAATCTAAATTGTACAGTCGCTTTGAAAATCGCGCATCTTTTAAATCTTTCTTCTAAAATAAAGCGAACAATAACAAATGCGCTCAGTAGCGGGAAATTTGAAATAGCTTTAAACATTTTAAAGTAAAGTAAAAAGTTAGTAATAAAAAATAAAAAAATAATTTAGTTGAAAGAGCAAATAGATTAAAATTAAATGGTAGAAAATAAAGTAATAGCTCATATTAATCTAGATTGTCACGTTTTTGACAGTGGTTTAAAAAATGCGCGTCTTTGTAAAAATCTTTTCCATACAGGGTGTCCCCTTTTTTGAGCCGGTGCGACAAAAACGCGCATCTCGGTTATTTGACGAGGTGCAAGGTTGATTAAGAGACTAAGATTGCCGAAGAGAAATTTAACCTATCTTTCCCATTTTTGAAAATATGTTTAGACTGTTAAAGAAAAAGTTTAATCTTGATAAATTAAACCATTTCATACAAATTTAAGGTTAGATACATATTAAGAGTGGGATATGCATTGAAATATAAATTAGGACAATTTCGAAAAAGCAAGTAGGTACGCGTTTTTCCAAAAATATCTAATTTTGATTTACATCTATTTAGTAATAGTGAAAATTGTTCTGCAACTAAAAAAAATGAATTGATTGAATTTTAAGGAGATTTGACAGTCTGTTGTTTCTTTTGAGTTTATCTCCCTAATTAATGATTTTAGCCGTTAGAAATTTTTGTTTTTAACTTTCGATTATTGCGATTCATCGGACTACAGAATAGTGGTAAAAATGGACCCAAGTGAGGAATGTCATATGATGACTCATGACTGACCATTCCTCAGTGTTTTCTGGAAGTTTTGACGTATAGCTTGTAGTTACACGATCACAAAAAGGAGATACGCTGCGGGTAGATGCTTTTGCCTTTGCCAATCACCCCTGAAAACTGCTTAGTATGCGACGCGGCGCTTTTCATTACCGTAGCAGAGCGTCGAGCACTTCATTCCTGCGAATTCTATGTGAAAGTGCCGGCGTTGGCCGACTGCATCCGACTGGATTCCACCATAGTGAAATCGTCTCCTCGCACGACACTGTAACACTGTTCTATTTCCACTTCGGAATCAAAATTTAATAGGCGATAGAACTAGACGCAAGAACAAAAAGAAAAGTTCATGTGAATGTTTTAAAAAGCTTCGACGTCGTAGGGATTTTGAATTTATTGAAGGATTAGTCAAGTGTAAATCTACGTCATTGAATTTTTCAGATTTTTAACGACTACATTGTACATACTGCAAATTGCCCTTTTTTTTAATTTTACATCTGTCAGAAACGTCAAATTCGAATCCCTTATAGCGGTTTCAGTTACAATAATCGCAATTATTCATTTGTTTTTGATAGAGGTTACTTTCAATTCTTCAGCGGTCAAAAGTGACACTTACTTTCTGCGTGTAAAAAACATTGAAAATAAAAGATATTAATTTTAAATAGTGTGAGTCGGTCCCGATGACGAATAGTGTCAGTACATTGGAAATATGTATCTCTGCACTTTCCTTATTAGAAATTCCATTACTTTGGTGTTCAATTTTTTCCCAACAGACTATTGTAAACGGCGTTACACCTTAAAGTCGAATATATTTCATAATACGAATTTATGCCGAGCAAGATGTGAAATTATTAAAATTTCATACGTGGAGCATATGCCATCTCTTGAGCTTTATACATATTTTAATACACACTTAACGACGTAGACAGGAAGGAGTAGAATATTGGAAATAAAGACCGCGCCGCGGCAGATCGAAAGTAAAACGAGCTATATAAATAATAATATTTTACGTCCTTTCAAAATTATGTGAAATTTGGAAAATATATAACCACGTTTTTTATAATAGTGTCAGCAGTTTTTCTAAATCATTTAACTAAGTATGTATTCATTTTCTGACTTTAGATCCTTTTCCTCATCTAATTTTGAAATATTTTTCTTATATACAGGGTGTTCGGAAATAGTGGTACTTCACCGCCGTTCTTGGTGGTGAAAATTCGAAATATTTGAAACTATTCAATTTTCGTGGTTGAAAATAGTATTGCATTGTCGAAACCAATACAGTTGCTTGAACAAAATTTGGACAGGACATACAATGCGAAACATCGACTTAATGTTAAAAATGCTGTCACCGCCGTTCTTGGTTGTGAAAATTTGAAATATTTGGAATTATCCAATTTTCGTGACTGAAAACATATATAAGTATTCAATTTTCGAAACCGAGAGAGTTGCACTAACCAAATTTGTACAGGACATAGCTAATACAATGCGAAACATCGCCCGGTGAGAAATATTGGACAAAATTCTCACCACTCGCCAATTTTCATCATCTCGTGATTTTTTTTTAATAACCTCGTGGTAATCTGAATTTTCATATTCCTGTGAGGATTTTTCGAAAAACCCTTTTTTTAATGCTTAGGGAGCGCCCCAACCTCAATGTCGAAACATTGGAAAAACATTTTTTTTTACATGCTAAAAGTACGAAATAGATTCAATAGAACCCTACGTAACATGTTATACCCAAACCATGAATTTGAATCTAAAAAACCTAATCTCAAAACCAACATTAACTAAGTTTAAACTCGCTAAATTAAGGATTAATAAAAAAAAAATGAAAAATCTTTATTGTACAGATTTTTTTCTACAACTGAACATCGAGTATTTAAAAATTTCTGCTTCGACACTGAGGTTGGGCTAAGCATTAAAAAAAGGGTTTTTCGAAAAAACCTCACCGGAATATGGAAATTCAGATTACCACGAGATTATTAAAAAAATCACGACGAGACGATGAAAATTGGCGAGTGGCGAGAATTTTGTCCAATATTTCCCACTGTGCGCCGTTCTTGGTGGTGAAAATTTGAAATATTGGGAATTATTCAAATTTCGTAGCTGAAAACATACATACAGGGTCGGAAAGTCCCCATGGTTCATCGGCCGTTACGTGAGCGGGATAAAGTAAGTCATAGAAATCCGTGCGATAGAGAAAGATGGCTATAATGAAGGCGTCTAATAGTTACCGCCCATTTCGCCCTTTCATAAATAAGATCCACTTCTTATTGTATTATTTGTACTACCAAATAATTCTTTACACTTAATAGTAACTTATTACCCAAAACTTATCCCTCTCCTTCAAAGCAGTTAAAGTTATTGGCAAAAAAACATTTATTTGAAGTCATCTTCAAACGCATCTACCTCCCGTAGGGCGGATTTGCGGACCCATGTTTATATGAAATTTTTGTCCTATTTTGAGTCGACAAATCTACCCTCAAAGTGAAGTACCACAATTTCCGAACACCTGGTATATATTTACTTGTGATTGAGATACAGGATGTTAAGTCCAATATAATTTAGTAATACGACAATTAGGCAATATAGATTCTCTGAAATTTCAGTAAGGCTTTTAATTTATTTAATAGAATTCAATTTAACCCGAATTTCAATAAAATGCCCATTAGCCTTAACACGGCAGTCTAGGAACTAGGAAATTTATTTTGTTGGAAGCAAAAATAAAAGTCGTCGGGGGTGATCACTTTCGGCGATGTTCCGATTTTCAGTGGACCACACCGTACATCATTAAAATTCTAGTTATATTCGTTCAAATGCGGCGCACATAACTCCTACTGTAAAACAAGAAGTAGTAAATTCCGGTGGAAGAATATTTATAGTTATTTTTCGGAATACTACGGCGGTCCGAATAGTAAATATTTTGTCGGGGACCATACGCGATGGCTGATTCCAGTTTGTGCGACGACGCGCGGATGGATTTTGACCAACGTAATGCTGCTATTTCCGGATCGTTAATCGTACTCTAGTTGAGTTTCGGGTCACGTATCCAGAATGTTCTACGGAATCAGCGTAAAAATACAAATTTAATATCGGATCGTAGAGCTTCACTTAGGCCCTGAGGTCAAGCTTATACTCCGGGACTACAGAGGATAGTCAGATTATTACCGGCGATTTTCACAAGCGGACTCGCCGAAAACTAATATTTATATACGGGCCGCCCCTGCGGCCGTTCTTGGTTTTAGCAGGAGACCAGGAAAATATTTCTCGCGAACGCGAGAAAAACCGACGGGGTCTTTTCTCCTGTTTACCTTTTAGCAGATGTGCCTCGTGCCAATTAATACGCCCAACAGTGCATTTAAGTCCGAATCTTCCGCAGCTCTTGTGGGATCGATAATACAAAATAGTGTCTCAAATCGAATTGCCACCAGATCAATTTTTCCACGTTTTAAATCAGAATGATCTAAGCTAAGGCGTTCAAAACATCGGAGAAAAATGTAGATATAATTACCAAATTAATCATAGACTGAAGCGATATTATCACTAAACGTTTATTTTTTGGACAAGCGATCCTACCTGGTGTGCGGTGGTTTCCGACAAGACCTTGGCCACGTCCCTCACGCAGGTTGCGGTCTGGTCGGTGAAGGTGCCATTTGTCAAACAAGAGTCGAGTAAATGTATAGTTTTCTCGTCCTCTCGTAAATCCTTCTGTAGCTGCTCCAGCCTGGACTCGAGCGTTTTCCAGGCTGGTAAAAGGCTTTCCATTTGGCACAGCTTATCAGTGGTACTGAAACAAAATAATCGAGGTAAGTTTATAGAATTCTGGAGATGAGCGTTGACAGCACCAAGATGGACGCTAAGATGAAATTAGAGTCGTGGTCGACTGTTAAAACATTAAATGTATTTAAAGGATTTCTATTTACGTATCGTATGCGTGCGGTGGCGATTAGAAAAGGCCATTAATGCATGTATAAATAACTTGCATGAATGAATATATAACGGCAAATAATGATTTTCCATCGGATCTTCGATTAAGTTTTCTCACGAAGTTCGACGTGTCCAGTAAGTAAGACATTTAAAGTACATTGGCCAGATAGTGTAGTGTACGATGCGTATACATATAAAACATTTTATAATTAGTATTCTATGTGAAATCTTTCCACTACCCTGTGCCCGATTCCCCACTACAAGCGACTATATGTCGGCAGCTGCACCCACGGATAACGTGGATTGCTTTCGAAGTACATAGAATTCATTTAATTCATTTATATATGGGGGACTTAAAACACAAATTCAAGTTTGAATTATTTCCCCCTACCGCTTGAAATTTATAATAAAATAATATCTAGCTTCAATTTTGGACACCACATTAACCTGCCTTTATTAAATTTTAACAAAAATTTGATCATTCTAAAATCTTTAATCACAAATCTAAAATTAGAAAATTACTCATTATTCGAACAAATTTTATGACTTTTTCATGGAAATACCATTTGAAATTAAAAACTTTTAATGAATTTCTACAATTTTCAGTGCCGTCGGTATATGGTTCTCCAATGCTTTGGTCAACGTGCTTCTATATCTCCATCCGCTACTAGTGGACATATTTGTACACCAATTCAATAAATCTTTTGGTTTTGATTAATTTTTAATATTTTCCATCTTCAGAGAAATCTGAATGAACGTGGTATTTCCATAAAAATTCTACACCCTCGAAAGGTTCATTAAAGTCATGATGAGCCAAAACTGGTGCAAATACCTCCAAAAATGATAAATATCTGATATAGACTGTAGAAAGTTCGATAAATTTGAAATGTTTTCTCAGTTTATAATTAGTCCAACATAAGAAGATAAATATTTTAAACGTTTCATCTGCTTACTGTACTTACCAGGTACGGGCTTTGTCAAAGAGTTCATAGAGCTCGGAAATGTCCGATTTCAGGGAGCACTCGCTAAAATCTTCGTAATCCTGATTCTCTAATGTGAATCTATGGACAATGGCATTCAGTGAGGCCAGCTTTACACCATGATTTGTTATGGTTTCCAGCAATTTCTGCAACAAAGAGAATTTATTATAATTAAATTATCGAATCAGTAATTTCTTCGAAACAAATTCCAAAGTATACTTTTAATTACAGGGTATTGTAAAATATTAATTATGGTGACGATTATAAGGCAAGCTCGGTATTGACATCAAGATGCTCTCGACATATCTCTGTCTTTTCATCTCTTGCAATTAAAAAAGAACAATACACATCTGGAGCGTCTAGATGTTAATACCGAACTTGCCTGTAATGAATGTAGCACATCCTTATTTTACGAATAGTTCAGCGAAAACAGTAGAAATCATTGAAATGGGCTCATTCAGCAAATTTTTTTTATCTGCTTAACGGAAGATATTGCAATTTTAAGGTTCTCTGCAAAAAATTAGAATTTTATATTGCCTACAAGGCATCCAAAAAAAATCATATACTGAGTATTCGCGGGTGAGGTCACCGCATGGGAAACCGATGCCGTATGCTTGCGTATGTTGCCAGTCAGTCGGGTAGTCTGGTATTAGTTGCCTGTTAAGTTTCGATTGAGTATATAAGACACCGAATTTTGTTAGCAATATGGAAGACACAGAACAGAAAAAAATTACAAATATTGTATTGTTCCCCGGTGTGAGACCACTAGTGTGAAGACGCCTAAGAAAATAATAATGTCCCCGTAATTCTATCGTGCGGATCTAAAATCAATAGTCTATTAGTCTCTACTTAGATTTGTTTTTTTTTAATATCTTTTATTTGAAAAATGACTTATTTTGAAAGCAACAAAACTACCCTGCGTAATTTAGGTATGTAATATATATCCTCTAGAAGCACTATACACTTGTGTTACCCAATGTCGATTTTTTTATAAATATTATACAAATATTTATAGGTACTAAGTTTTTATATACGAATACATAATAAATATTACATATATTAATATATTTATAAAATATTAGGTACATTTTATGTAGTTTCTATGGGAATAAAAATAGTAATAAGCATTTTGTATTTGATTAGGTAAATCATTGAAACCTGTGACAAACAGTTTCGTCCAATTAAACGCAAAATCCTTATTCTTATTTACTATTCTTATTGTACAAAAACATCAAAACTTCGCTACAAACGTACTTAACCTTTGCATTTTCACTCCTCTCATCTCAGCACTGATAATGTCGTGGTTTTTATTAAAAAACTCCATAACCATTAAACCTACTTCTGGCAAATTAGAAGTATCTGCAATTACGAAATTTGTTTCCATTTTTTAAATTTAATATGCACAAACGTTAAAACATTCTGTAGATGCAGAAACTCCTCTGGAAGTAGCGCCAAGCCGGCTGACCGTCCCATGCGGTGACGTCATTGCATTGCCATGACTGAGACAAATATTCGCATTTTAAAATAGTTTGAACACCGCTCAACGGATCGAGTTGAAATTTTCAGGATCGCCTAATCATGAGCAATACTCTGTGTATACAAAATAAGAACGTTTTTAAAAATTTACTGAATGTCCCCATTATATTTTTTACGTAGGTATATTATGGGGGCGGGAGTTAAAAAATTCAAAGCCGAGCCGGTAAATTTCTGAATAGTACAACTTCGTTCGCGAAGTGAATGAGAGAGGGATACAGTAGGTCCAGGGAGTCGACAGCAGATCAGCCTCCCTTGGGGACGTTCTCAACTCAAGTCTTTCCGTCCAAGTGGCAGCGTCAGGATGGTCATCCGTATGTCCCTAGCTTGTCGGTTTTCATAGCTGCATGTGTATAAATTACTGAAGTTTATGGACATGCCCTAACGCGACCGTATTTTATTATTGACAGGGTCACAAATAAGAAAATCTAACTAATTCAAGGCTGCATCAACCGAATTGGCAGTATCCCTTGAACATTTATTTTACCGCAGGTAGGCAAATCAAATTTATATTTAGGGGCGGTTCGATTTTCGATGTAAGTCTGGATAATCATATAAATGTAATGAACAAATTGTATTGTACCTACTTTTTGATTTTAAATTAAAAGTTGTCCTTAAATTTTGTTATATCTATTTTATATTTATCTGTTCACATCATGTTAACTGTTTGTAGTAAGTTAAAACTGACACAAAAATTAAAGATGTGGAAATAAAAAATGGGACATTAAAAGATACAGGTTAAAAATAGTTATTAGGAAAAAATCGATAAAAATTCCAAAGTTAAAGATTGAGAATGAGGAGCCGTAAAATTTAATTTTGAACGACGTGACACCTAGTTGCAGCATCATGTAAATAAAGAGCGAATTTGAAAGTTTTTAGGACGAATATTACGCCTAGATAAAAAAATAACGCTTTCATACACCGCTCTGTATATTTCACAATAAAAATGCTCCTTAATAGAGGGTTCAACTGTCTTACGCTAATCATAGCGTAGTTTTTATTCGGGTTGCCGGTTCTTAGAAATGTAAATTTAAGGTATTTAATTTGGCAATTACGTGACACTATGTATGTGTATAAAAGAAAGGCAGCATGTCGTTAACAACGCAGCAGAATAACAAAAACCATTGACACTACCTTCACCAGGTTCCGAGTATGGTGACGAAAATACAGAAACCAAACTGAGTTTAAAGGTGGACAAAAACTTACGTAGCGCACCGTACTTTTAGCACAGGTACTGTTTTCGAAACGTTGGAAAGCTTTAAATTCGCGTAAGAAGTTTATTAAGATTGAATTTGTGTAAAAATAAGTGATCGAAATTTTTCTCGACTTTTATTGCATAAAATGAAATAGTCGAAAAAATATTGCATGCAGCTCGCGTGTAAAGCACCTTTTTTCATTCGTGAGACTGTTGCGCTTGTGGAAAAAGTGTTTACACACTTATTGCATAACAATATATTTCATAATTTAAAGGCAGGACACATGCAAATACAATTATTTATATCCGCGTATTGGAAAAAAATGCAGAATTATGCAAATTACGAAATAACGAGAAATTAAAAATGTGTCATCGAAATCGGATCGTCGCCGCGAAAGCAAACTTTATTTCAATAAATCGGTCCTCGATTTGTGAGATTCGCACCCGGGCTGAGCCTTTGTAGTAAAAAAGTTCGCCGCCTATTCTCAGTTTTGTACAGAACTGTACTGAATTCGAATCAATTGATTGGCTGTTGATTGTAAATTGAATTACATTGGAATGCGTGTCTGCAACGTTTTACAAACGGCATACCAATGCGGCTGGAGTTCTAGGGACATGTAACTCCCCAAGACCAAATTGTAGTGGTTATATCCACAAACCTCAAAATCAAATTCCGCGTCTACATGATAATACATAGGCGTAAGTAAATTTTCAGACCCCAGATTTTTACACACAGCTGCCGTAGATAGATTAATGTTTACTTTTCAACAAACTTAAAGTAAGGGAACGAGAAAAAAAATAAGAGATGTATTAATTTTCAAAACAACAATTAATTTCTTATATGCCACGAAAAATATCCTACTACGTATTGTACAAGTATTCGAAGAAGTGACAATATTTAAGCCGCCTGAATTGTAAATATTCAGAAGCACTAGATTGGAACATGAATATTATACGTGCAGCGCCATCCTTTATTCAAATATGTAAGCAACTCTCGACATTAAGCGACAACGATCGTACAGAGGAAAGTTTCTGTAAGGAGTCGTTAGCATAAGTAAAATGGCTGGCGTGAGGTTTAAAATGATACGTGGTACATAGTGTTTAACAATTCCGCACTAGATTATTAACGAATCAATAATAATAATTTTGTCCAATGTCCAAGACTGCTTGAATTATGTTATATATGGCTTTTTATGGAATTAAATTACTGAATATTGATCATTTTAAACATCGAACATACGTTGTAGATATTCTATTTAAAGCCTTATGCATTTATTTGATGAAAACATGAATTGGTAAATAATCTATCTTTAGATAAAATCTATAACTTATTTTTTCTTTTCAGCTTTAAAACTATACATCATACCTTATACAGATGAATTTTACTTACTTTTTCTGATCTCAGCTATTGCTCAACTGAGATCTCAGGTAAATAAAACACGGGCATTATTTTATTAAAATTGTATTAAATTTCACCAACCTTTCGAAAAAAACAATTATTTTTAAACTAGTAAATAGTCCACCCCAGTAACTTGTTTACTTTTTGAAATAAAAAAAAAACAAATCAAGAAGTCGGACATGCGATGTTCAATTGTTTTATTTTATAGAAATAAATTTTAAAGCCATGAAGGAACTATACAACTTTTTAAAGAACATTTTTTTCTTAAAGTCGAAAACAAAAACGGTATCGAATATCATTTTCTATGCGAAATTCTGTAAATACTACTGCATACTCGATATTAATTTTTCTTTAATTATTAAAAATTACCAATCTTTCGATTTTAGTTATTCTAAAAATAAATGTGTGCCCAGCTATATAGAAATAGAAAGTATTAAAATAAAGGGATCGGTAATAAAATCAGTGAAAGAATGTCATTAAAAAAGATAATGGCCGCTTCTATCGAAGACATTGACAGGTCCAAGTATCGGTTGTTAAATATTTTGTATTCAAACGTCCTTTTTTATAAAAAAATTTTTAGAATGACGATACTTGTACGGCAACCGGCTGGTTGATAAAAACCAGTAAAAACACCAAATGCCAGAAAATCCTCTACAGGCACAGCCGGTATATACCCATAGGCGTAGGAACTTTAGATTGCTCTGGGGGCTAACAAAATAAACGTTCCTGAAATAGGCAATCTAACTAATACCATTTAAACCGCATCTTAACGAGAACTAGAGGAAAACTACCCTTTAAGAATCGACTTTTATTCGCTTTTTAAGAAGCATTCCTTGATGTTTTTTTAGTATTACAATTCATACATTTAATAAAAATGGTGCATCCTGAGCCCGGTGAATTCGGCGCCCATGATAGCATCAATCCCGACGTTGTTTTGTAAGAATTCTAAAATAGCGTTTCTTATGGGATCTACAATTAAACTATACTTTAAAGTAAAAACTGGTGGTGTGTTATATTTTCAGTCTGAAATGACGGTAAAAGCGTACTCGTGTCGAGCATTGCTACGGCTAGCTACGTGACGGGACTGCAAAGGGACGGGGCACAGGCCTCCATCGCAGGGTACGTTGCCGACACGTCCAGGTCTTAATCTTGCAACCCAACCCAGAAACAAAATATACCTACCGCGCCGCCGCGCGTCCTAGGCCGGTCACTTACACCCACAATATTCACTAAATTCCATTTTTTTAACACATATTTCGCGCATTAGAACTATTTTTACAACGACTGTAAAGACAAACACGATCGATCATTACTTCAATATACAAACAATTCCAGTGCTTACAAGTTGGAGATGATTTTATAATGGCAAGTGGATGCATTTACAACAAGCGTTTTCAATAATCAAAACCGTAATAATTACAAAACGGCGCATGAAGTTAATTGAACATTAAAATTGTTGTAACTTATTGGGAACCTCTGGAATCGTCCCCGAGTTACATACTGCATAAAAAGAGGTGAATATTTGTGGCAGTAAACGGTGTATTGTTGCTATTTCAATTTTAGGTAATCAAAATTAAAGTGCTATTTTTACAGCGACTGTAAAGACAAACCGATTGATCATTACTTACCTCTGGAATGGTACCCCCAGTTACATACTACATAAAAAGAGGTGAATATTTGTAACCGTAAACGGCGGCGGCATGTCGTCGCTAGTTCAATTTTATGTAATCAAAATTAAAGTGATCATATTTTGATAAGAAGCCTAGGACCCATACCATTTTTAGGGGATGGTTTCTAGTCTCACAAAGAGAACTTACACGAAGAAACATTTTGGAAAAATTTTCGAAATAAGAAATTAAGTTGTGTTGCCGACTCTGGGATCTTCAAAATATTTTTTTCGTAATTAACTGATAAGATACAATTATGCGTTTTTTTTATTCAAATATTTTGCACTGAAATAAATAGAGAAAATATTATATAGTCTCACGAAAACATGTATTTTAAGTAAATTAAGGACCATTACCTAAATTAATCATTTATCAATTCTTTTCAATATAACATTAAGTAAAATAAACTAAAAATGCTTTAGCCCGTCGCCATATTTGCGAAATTAGACAACACCTCAAACTTGATCTACCCCGTCAAATTTTTAGTGACTGCACCGTACTATTGCGATTCCGCCCGATTTCGCCTCTGCCGGTCTAGCGTTTTGACTTCACTTCACGTATGCCTCAATCGATATCGATTGGAATTCCGGCTTCCGTTGCTCTAATTTCTTCAGGTTGACACCTCAAGGATGGCTTTTCTTGCGTCCAGTCTCAGGTGCCCTTTGTAGTTTTATAGAAAATAATTCGCACCGTTTGCGTCACGGATTCCGCTTCATATAATTTACGTGTTACCATAAAGGACTGCCAAAAGGTCCACTATTCAATACACTTATATATACAAAAAACATATTTTTCTTTTTCTGAAAACTCTTGCTGTTATACAAATATTAATAAATTTTCAGTTGTTTATACCTAATTGGACTTGTTCCCCCACTCCTTCTAAACATTTGAGTAGTCTACTGCAAGGGATAGTACAAAAGTACACTCCACTTCAATACATATTTGCAATTAATTATCGTTATTTTTTCTTACGCTTATGGTAGGCACATTTCAGTACTGAGCTCGACATTTCGATGTGTAAATAGGGAGGAGGTGGAAGAATCGACTACAGTCTAAAAGGCAGCCTAATTTACTTTGCTTTGAAGTTTCCCGTATGCGCGTTTCGTATGCGACGCAGGCTTCGGATAATTTTAATGGGATCATTTTTACGATTTAGGTCTTTTTCGTACGTTTCACGTACAGAAAAATAAATATTGGACGTAATTAATTGTGTTTGTGAAACTATTACGGAGTTCCTCCTTTTGATTTTGCATTAACGTTATAAAAAGTTGAATCCATAAAAGAAATAGACTATTAAAGCTGTCGTACTGGGTATTTTTATTAAATACATATACATATTAATAGTTTTTGTTTTCTTTAAACGACATTGTTTCAGTTCTTCATACAAAATTTCTAAAATTTCGAAGGACGCCTTTGTGATATGCGTGAATATTTTTATTTTTTCTATCACTTCACTTATAAAATGACTAAAAGTTGAACAAATGAGAGATGATGAGAGCAAAATACAGTTATTTTCTCAAAAATCGGACATATATTTTTAAACTGATGTTCAATTCTTTTTCTGATTGTATATTCTGGCTCCAATGCATTTTTACATTTGTCGATATTTTGTCACTCAAATCTTTTCTTTTGCAACTTTTTGTTATAGGCGCCATATTGAATTTTATGGTGATTTTTAAGATTTCCAATAACATTAAAATTAGAAAAAAATCCAATGTGTCGAAAATACCATAAGACAAAAGTAAATTTGGTAAGGAAATAATAACCTTGAAATCAATTCAAAATAAAAACCTGAGTCCACAGAGAATTTTTTTACAAAAAGTTTGTGATAAAACTAAAATTAATTTGAAAAATTCGTGAAAATAAGAAGGCGGTTTCTTTTTTTCAAAGTATACTATTACATTAATAGTAGAAACTTTCTAAATTTAAACATTTTTTATCTTTTATAGTTTTCAAAATCGCAATATGCAACACCAAAATGGCTCACCCTGGTATAGCCTAAGATTCACAGGATGGTGAGTTTATTTTAAAATAATTAACATAGTTAAAATTATTTTTATACCTGTATGTGTATGCAGATATAAAATACTACACTACAGGGTGTAGTAATCCATACTGTACTACACTACTACTCTACAGGGTGTAGTAATCCGTAATTAATCATAAAATAATTTTATATAAACAAATATCAAAAAAATTTAGTAAGGGTCATATGGCACCATTTAACTTGAACGTTATGAATTTCTTCCACGGCAACTATTTTTATCGAATTGTGTGATATAAAATTTAGTGACATATTTAGTGATTTTTTATAAATGTCAACTTTTAACGGAAGAATTTAGTATCCAAATCGATAATGGAATTTTGATACTGCCCTTATTTATGTAATTATTTAATAGACACTATACAAGGTGTCCCAGGAATAAGTGCCAAAATTTTAACAACGGCTTTGAACTGGAATTTAATTTGGAGCAAATATTTAGAAACAGCAAATTAGTAAGTATTTTTTGGTCTAATAAATATGTTTACTATTCAACTGGCTGCTGAGACCATTTAGGAAAAAACAATGAATATTAATTCTAAATATTTGATGATCACTTAAGATTTGAAATAAAAAGTTGCTAAACAATTTTCTCCAAACTTGGCAATGGAAACAATTTAATAAATAGCCAAATAATATATACTTTTCTTGCAAGGTTGTTTTCATCTTAAACTAGCGTTCATATCTCAAATTTAATCTTACGAATAAATATAAATAATGATTAATTTAAGGCCTTAAGTCTAATGCAAAGAAAGTATCGAGTGCATAAAATATTGTGTGACTTACATTACAGGCGTCTATTTCATTGTGAATGTCCTCTACCGGGAAATTCTGCGTGTAAATTTTCGTTTTATCAGGAGTACTGACAGAAATAACGAACGCTTTCAGTTCCAAAATCTGCTTCTGAAGCCTTCTGTACTCCTGCATTTTTAAACTTTTTATTTTTAGAATCCTCCACTGACTCAGTAAACCTGAAATCGAAATAAAAGGTAATTGATATATATTATTTTTAAACGGTCGATGGATTATTAGAATTTTATGATGTTGGTGACCGACATGCCTTTGGTAGAAGGAAATATGTTTCCCAGCACCAACAAGTACATCTAATTTAATTTGTCTAATATGTACAGAGAAAATGCCAAGAAAGTAAAACTTTTGCAATGATTACATTCCACAAAACCAAGATTTTGATTTTATGAAATTGTATGAATAATAAAGATTAATTTGAACCACTATGTATGCACATGCAGTTAACATTCACTTATCCATGCATTACACACGTCGTCTGTCGATTAAATTAATTCTGTAAATTTTTTAATGTTTTATCAGTTTTATATAAATTCTTTTAACTTCGTCGCCGTAAATAAGGAAATTCGCGCAAGATGAAAAACAGTTGATTTGGAAAATAAATTCATCAGAAGTTCAAATAGCTTATCCAACGTACATTGCACAAGAACTTCCACAAAAGCGCCAATGCCATTCGAACATATATTTTGACTGCCACTTGAGATTATCCAACATGTAAAAAACGTTAATAGAATACTTTGCGAAGCTATTTCATCTTCTGAACAGTCTTTAATAAAACCGAATTCAACTATGAACTATTAGAAGTTATGATTTTATGGACACTGAACCACTTCCCAAAATATTGAAACAACTTACCTGATCTATCTTTAACTTTATCTAACTCTGATGGCTCCTAAGGCGAAGTGGGTATAATTCTCTTTTAAATATTGTTAATAAAAGTTAAAATTTTCAAAACCTAGTCAGTCTACTAACAAAAGAATCTAAAATACCACCCGATTGGCTCTAGAAACATATTTATATTCGGAATTATTATTTACACAAGTTCGTTGTTAAGTTCTTATCCTCATTTCCTAGAAGCAGATTTTTCATGTGATTGCTTATACAGGGTGTTTTTCCTTTTAACACATAGAACTCAAAAAGTATGTTTTTCAAATATTTATTCAAAAATTCAGAAATAATGAAAATTAAAAAGCTAATTTTTATTTTATGTAAGTCTAGGCTTGTCTAAAGGAGAGACGGTGTTAAAGTATGTTTTCTATGCGTTCACATATTTCGCAAATGCATTCATTTCAGCTGTTCATGTAATCTTACAAGTAAATATCACATGGATTACAATCTGGCGATTTTGGAGGCGATGGCATCCCATCATTTAGATAATCCTGCACTTCATGTACCGGTAAAAACAATTAAAGAAAATTTTTGTGAAAATGTTCAATTTTTGAGATTCTGAAAAAATGTTTGAAAAACTTGTTACTTTGCCGAGTTCTTTCTCAGGTTAAAAGAGAAACCCCAACATAAAAACACCCTGTATGTATTATTTTCTTTGACGTTGGGGACAGGTTTGGTAGTATCCTCGTTTTACACACTTTAAAATTTCACTTTTTTTATATTTTTACGGCCTTGGACTATTTCTAAAAACTAGTATTTAGGTTTCTTTCCGTACTCAACGTAACAACCTCCCTGGAAGAAACTGTTTCCCGTTTTACAATCAGTTAACAATTTTCTTGAACTGACACGAAAAATAAAAAAATTGTCAAGTTGAAGATAGAAAGAACTCCGTTACTATTACTTCACGGGAAATTATTTACCCCCTTCTGTTTTCACATGATTAATGGAACCCAGTTTCTGGGTATCTTCAAATGGTAGACTTTTTTTATAAATATTTAATTTCTTTCACATGCATATCCGATTTTTAGAAAGATGAAATATGTATTTACAAAAGAGCACGATTTCGTATTTTCTCGTCCAATCAGAACTTCTGGTTCATCCGAAAATATATTTTTTACCGTTGCCATGTTTTTATAGACATTTAAAACTCTACAAAGTTCAAGCAAAATAATACTAATCACTTTTTTGTTTAATTTGGAAAAACTGAGTGAAAGGAAAGGGAGAACTATAAAAAGCATGTCGTACTAAGCAAAAAACATTTAATGCATCAACCATGCTGTTATAAGCAAAACTAGCAAAAATAATATATTATATTAGAAAAAGAATATAAATACATGCGCACATTAAAATTAGATCACATTTATCACATTACTTAAAAAAAAACCACTAAGTTATCTTTAGTTTGCGGAACCTTTTCAACTTTCTTAGAAAATACGCGATTATTCCTATAGCTTTCTTCAACAAGAAAGAAAGCAAGGAGGTCCAAGTGCAGGATAATAATATAGGAAACCAGTTCCTACCTGTCGTGACTGCCTTGTCGCCGTTCGACATTTTGTATTCGTCTGAAGACTCATTCATGTGATTCAGCAGCGCGATATGGCGGTCACAGTTGGCAACTAGGTCATCCTAAAACAAGATTAAGCATAAATAAATAAATAAATACCCAAAAACTTTCATACTGGATATAGACGATGTAACTTTAAGTGGGGGTCAAGGTTCCCACAATATTAATCCAAAATTAATTAATTTTAATTGCACTTAAACTGTCTACGCTGCCACTGGGCAACACTCGAACACCGTTATATGTGTGCAATTATCACTGTTATCTGTTACCTTTTTTTCTATAGCAAATAGGCAACCAGCAATACGTTTTTATAGATTTTATTACACAGTTTGTCTAAATATGAATTAATGCACAAATAACAGACTTTTTCCCTCATTTTAACGCAGATATCTATAAAATGGTTTGAAGATCAAATTACATTTTGGTGTAAAGAAATTTGTAATTTACGATGCCGCTTTAAACTAACTCCATTTTATATTAAATCTGCGTTAGAATGGAGGAAAGTCTGTTATTTGTGCATTAATTCATATTTAGACAAACTGTGGAATAAAATCTATAAAAATGTATTGCTGGTTGCCTATTTACTATAGAGCCCTCTTAAATTAAACGCATGAAACTATAGGAGTGGCGAAAATCAATATTTTTTTATAAAATAAAATCATGTATACGAAATAAGTTGAGATTTGACAACAATGCATGTCATAGTTTTCAATTGGGTATGTGCTAAAATTACGAAACAGGTTAAAAAAAATTTTCGATTTTCACGACGGGATTTGGAAAAACAGATTTGTTTCTAAAAGACAAAACCTTCATATAAATATGACCCCCCTTCAAAGTCACACCTTGTATATAGTTAAGTTCTTAGACGTGATTGCCGAATTTTTCTTGACTGCCTTCTTCAGAATTTATTTTTTAATTTTCTTCCAAAAACGCAAACATCGAAAGCCGAGAAAGATCAAAAAAAATTTTACATTCGCAGACTTCTAATTGAACGAAAGGACTTACTATCTCGTTAGTAACTAAGTGGTTGTTGATTCCTAATTTAACTTGTTTGTAGATTTCCTCGGCATAATTCAACTGATCCCTCGAATCGCTTATGAGTTGCTTCAGAGATTCCTCGTCGCTATTCGAATCTTCCGCGTTCTGCGTCGACCACGACTTCCTCTTGAACGTCGGCGACATATCGGAAAAGGCCGACCAGTCCGACTGGCTGTCGATGAAGTTCCTGTAGTCTTCGCCGAAGTTTAACAACTTCCTGGCGGCATCGGAATCGTGGGACTCGCTGTACGCCTCCGAGAGATAATTTTCCTAAAAAAGAACAAAAATTGTATATTAATAGGCACGAGAATTTTTTTTAAAAGACCACTTGTAAAATTTGAAGACGAGTCAATCAATGTTGAGTCCGATAATTTGGCTAGCAAGTACGAGCATGTTACATGTGATGCAAAACTGTAACAATGGTAACTTTTACTTCTCAAGAATATTATAGCAATTACAGATTGATGTTATCACAAATATTTTATGTGAATATTGCTTCCATTCAGATCAGGTTGTGTTCACAGAGCAAGAATTTTGTAATACTAGAAATAGTCATGTTTGGATCTAAGAAAACCCAGTTTTCCGACCATCTCGGACTATGCCGAGATTTTCAGTTAAAAAAAAATTGACCTTGAAGGACACCAAGGTCGAGTTTGAGGTCACCACTAATTGCAATTAAACAAAAATAACTAAAGTGAGCTTTGTACTATTTTCATCAACTGCGTCCTTTGCCGATATCCAGCCCCAAATTCAAATAACCTTTGAATGACCTTCAAGGTCAACCCTGATTTAGAGCTTTTGGACGTAAAATAAAAAATAGAGGTGACCTTGAAATAATCGTCAAGGTCAAATCCAAGGTCACCATTGAATTACTTCCTCGTCAAAAGTTACTACAATGACCTTAACATTTTTCAAAAATAATTTATCTGGGAAATTATTCAGGTGTTTCCAGACTTATTATACACCCAGTATACAAAAAAATCTCACCTGGTAGTTGTCCCATGCCTCCGATAACGAACTGGACTGCTCTTCCGCTGCATTCAAGCTGCTCTTCCCAGGGCTATCGTCTCTCGATTCGGAACCGTGTAAGTAACGTGATTTAGCTCCAAACTTAAAGTTGGGTATCCTTTAAAAAAATTACGTGTGTTATAAGTATGTTCGAATACGCGTAAAAGTTTTTTTACCTTCTGCTGATATCTTCGTCGCTGTCCGCTCCGCTGGTGGTGGAGGTCTCGCAGAAAATGCCGTAGAGGCAAACCGGGTCTGCCGGAGGGTCGCTTGAAATGTTCCTATCGTTATTGGTAAACCGCGAGCTGTAACCGGAGAAGGACCCAGATTTTATGAGGAGGTTCCTGTTTTTCTGTGCCGCAGGACTATACAGTAAGTGGGTGTCGGACTTTCCAAACTAAAAAAAAATTAAGACGTATGTAATCGCAGCGATTACAAATGTTAGTGTGTTGCCTTACCAGTGTCTTCTTCTTCAGTTTCGACTTCTTTCTTCTGATGGGCGATGTCTTTTCAGTTAAAAGAGGGGAAATTTCTTCAACCGTCGAAGATGTCGAGTTGTTGGAATTTACGGTGAAACTGTTGCTGCTCACCGTGGTAAATCGATCTAAGACTTTGGGCGTTAAGTTCATTTTGTGTAGGGCGGATTCCGATATTGAAAAATTATTGATCCTGAAAAGAAAAATTATATTGGTGGCTAATCGAAGTAACTTTGGACAGAGATTAAGTGTAGACCAGAAAAATGCACCGCTGAGCGGTGTATTCCGTAATTTTCAAAAAAAAAAAAGTCAATTTTCGGGTGAGGACTCTTTTCAATATGGAAATTTCACATAGAAAGCGCGTACAAATCGCGTTCAAAATACGATGTTGGTCCTAATACTACGACATCCTGTAGTTATAAAAAGTTGCCGTTAAAGATGAAATTTAAATCCCGAATAAGAACAATGGAATAAAATTGACAGTATCAGACTTACCCGGGAGTAGACGACACTTCATTAAGTTGCGACATGCAGGATCCGTGCCAGGGTCTGTTCCCATTGGTAGAGTTAAGTTCATCGATAGAAGTGTTTTGCGAATTGGACTGGGTTTCTCTCAATGTCGCAGTGCTGGCATCGAAATCCTCAGACGTCTGAGATTCCTTTTCGTCATCTTCTCCGCTGGCATCGCAACTATCATCGGGTTTATCCATACTCAGCCATTTATTAACTCGTGACATTTTACTCAGGGAGTTGGTTCGGTCGGGTTTTCTACACTTTTCAGGGCTCACCAACTCTTCCGCCTTCTGAACTAACCTCCTGATCGTATCTTCCGGGATGGGTTTAGGCTTTGGAATAATATGTGCGTCCTCTAGTTCCTCGACCCTGGAACCGCCCTCTCTATAGTCCATTTGCTCGCCTTTGTCCTCCGTCTTGGTGTACGTCCATTCTTCTTCCGAGGTCTCTTCCAGTGTACTCTGCCCGTCGTTTTTCGAAGCGGCGCAAATCTGTTCCACTTTATCCATGTCCGAATCGGTGTCTTCGTGTCTGAAGTAGTAAGTCGCTAAATTCGGCGCCTTTTTATCTGATTTCGTGAAATGGGAAGTGTCCTCGAATGATTTTATAAAATTACCGTCCAACACGTCTATACCATTTCTTTCTTCCCCTAGTCTATAGGCCTTCTCAGTCATTCCGATCTCATGCGTTACATCCGAGGAGTCATCCTGAAAATGCAATATGTACATATTATACATGTAATATTAATTATTAATTTACACATCATCCACAACCAGTTTTTATACTTTCATATCCATGTTAAAATTTTAGTTTAAAAAATACAGCAAAAGAATCATTGTGCTATATCTGTCACAGGCAAATAACATACTTTTTTGAGTTATTGACGAAAAGTTATGAAAATTGCTTCGTTAAAGTGACTACTATTTAGTTTTTGAGCAAAAAGAAGAACAATTCGTCACGGCGAATTTTTATAATTCATTTAATTTTACTTAAAAGCATTTATTTTCTTTAGCATTTTCAACAAAAGAATATTTTTACTCATGTTTTGTTTGGTGTTAAAACGCACTAACGATAATTTTTACAATAAATTTTGTGGGTGCTATTTAAAGGTTTAAGTATTTTGAAATTACTGCATCCGATGACGTACTTTCTAAAAGTTGCTGCATTAGAACGATTTTACTATCTTGCCAGAAGGTGTAAATAAAAATATATTTAGTCGATCCATCAGTAGTGTCAGACATTTGCTTTGGCATTTCGTTGAGATTAAATCCAAACAATTACAATCAATTATGCCCATTGACCGTTGCACACTATCCGTATCAGTCAATGACTGCTTCAATTTTGTATAAGTAGGTGCCAGACAGATATTGCAAATGCAATTTGTTTATATGTTCTGTACACAATTTGCACTTAGATTAAATCAGAAGCAGATTCTATTTACGCAAAGCAATTTGGAAGAAGTTGTTGAACCTATAACAACGATCCATTTTACTAATAGGAGCCAATCTTATTAATTTTGAATCTTAGTAAATGCATTATTCCCGCGTACTAATGATATTATTTCGAAAAATGGAAATAGAAAAGCAAGTGTGTGATTTAATTCTACTCCGTAATATGCATGGTGTCCGGAAACGAATGGGCCATACTTCTAGGATACTTCTTTGCATGAAAATAAACCGATTTAGATCTGTTATTTAGATTAGTTAAAGCGAAATAAAAAGATATTTTTTGAAGAAGAAGAAGAAGAAGAAGAAGAAGAAGTTACCCTTGAAACATGGCCCATTCGCTTCCGGACACCCTGTATGTTAGGGAACAGATACTGATTGACTTTGGAACAGTGAATTGCGTTCTTCTCAAAAATGGGCACGTTTTTTAACAAAAGTACCGTTTTTATGAAATGTTATATTGTGCTCTGAGATTGCATTGTCAAAAACCTAACCTCAAATAACATGTAAGATCGTACTGCTAGAGGTCGCTAGCTAGCAGATAGTCAAAATCTGACAACAGTAAAGCATTCGGCATTTTTTTTAGAAAAGATATGGCTCAAATTTGATTCTGACGCACTGTATAAAAAAAAATACGTCCATGGTTAAAAATCAAATTGTTTTATGTTTTATCAGTTTTATGACATTAACTGAACCTAACCTGATATGGTATGTTTTACAGAAAATTTCTTATTCCTCTTGAATGACTCCTCTTTATCTCTCCGTTACTAAATAAAGGAACAAAAACAATGCCACGAGATTTAAGTTGTACTTCCTATTAATAGGTAACACAATTAGAAAATAGTATCGTACGTCACGACTAACCGCCTGCCAAATTCATTTTAGTTTTATATTTTTTAAATTGCCATTAAATAATCGCGTTTAATAAATATATAGGTCAAGATTTCTTGTAAATTATACCGCGTTGCGTGCATTTTTCGAAATGGCCAGTCATTATGTTATTTGCCTGTTACGTCTGTAGTACTGAAATGATACTACTCGAAAAGAATTTAATCTTCTATTCCAGTACAATTTTAATGAGGTCCTACTTACTTAAATTAGTATAAAAAACGATGTTGGCACAAATCTCCCATTATAATTCCAAATTAATTTCACAGGAGTAGGTTGTAATAATTATGTACAAGTTCGAAAAGCAACATTTATGGCATTTTAATTGCAGAGGCTGAAATGGTTTCACGTTGCGGCAATATTTAATGGTACCGTATAATGGTGAGGAATTAATGATTTTTTTTTTGAAAGAGTGCCTAACCTAGAATGGTTATAATTAAGTAAAATATAGGTACACTCAGGCCTCTTTTTGACACGAGTACAGATATTAAACGAACAATAAGAGGCTGTCCGTATAGAAATACATTATAGTTTAGAATTCGCAATCTTTCCTTTAGATTTAAAAACATTTTCCTTAGTGCTTTCTTTAGCCTAGAGGCACTGGAAGTGAAAATGTACAACAATTCTACATGGTAATTGAAATAAAATTACAAATGGATTTATTTTATACATCGTGTACCGGCAGTATTCTTATTGCCTGGAACAATATGTTACGTTTCATTAATTGATTATAATTTCTTTAATAAATTGATTAAATTACGGTTTCTCCTATCGTTTTTAATTCCACTGCAATTTCTCTGCGAGATGCTAGGTGATCTCTACGCTCAACAGCTTATCATTAAAATAATATTTAAAATAATTTTAACACACTTAAATAATAGATCGATGCATTCCTTCTGATTTTCACGCTTTCTAACGTACTTTGCTTTGCTTGTTTTGTTCATCATGTTACCATTTAATTGTTCCCGAGTACCTTTCTGTTTTTATTTCATCGAAGGATCATAATTATACGGAGCGCATTACGCTGAGCAAATTATACCATTTAAATTTTCTGGGCCAGTAGTAGAAGAAATTGTTACAGTTATGATTTTTTTTAACGTAGGAAACTGAATAAACACGAGCAGGGTCGTAGTCAGGACAGACAGAAGAGATCTTGCCCAACCTAGCGGACTAATCAATATACTTTCAATATTAAAAAGATAGGTAAAATTCTACTTTCTACATGAGTTCTTTAAAATCTTGTAAGATTTCAAACAAATTAGTAGAATCATTCAGCTGCTATAGTTTTGATGCAATATATTGCAGATAAAGAATTTCGCCTATGTTTCCAAATTAAATTTACCTTTCCATATATCTGAAGTCTTCAAACTGCGGTTATAGATTGCGTTATACATTTTTTACACCTTAATAAATGTCTTTTACCGCGAAAAAAGCTACCGATATGAATGAATATGAAATTGTACACGACTGCAAATATACTGATACCGAGAAGTAATTAACAAAGTACAAACGAAAAAAAGCGGCTTTGCCGCGGGCTATCAAAAATTATTGTTGTGTTAACTACAGCTAAGAACTAACTTGGAATGTAGTCACGATTTATATAATTAAGTTAATTATTTTTGGCTGTTCGTAGGTAATTAAATGCTGTTCGCGTTGAATGTGTTTGTAAATCTCTTTTTATTTGGCCTGGTCATAAATTGGATTTATACAATTTAGATACTTAATTTTTGTTTAGAGGCAATTTTATTTCGTAATACATAATTATAGTAGAAACGTACAGAGTCGAGCGTGGATAAGATAAATAAAAACCAATTAAAAATGAGTCGTACATAATTTGTCGAGGATGTCCAAGGTATATTTTTCATCCATCAACATGTTACAACCTCATTAATTATAATTCCTCGTATATTTGTATTCGAAAGTATAGTAAAAATATGTAATTTGATCTTCTACTCAATAAAATTGTACTGTTAATTATTAAAATCCCGAAAAATAATACTACACGAAATGATCATATAAAAATTGATAACTATCATTGATTTTGTTACATTCTTGTATTTTACAGGTTCGAAAAAACATGATTATACGATTCATGAATGAATATTAATTATAAATTACAACTTATCATAATTACAGGCTGAAGTAAACCGTATAATCTTTCCAATAACAAATGACTCACCTCGCTCGAAGAGTTTTCATCAAAATGGCGATTGCTGTAGGTTCTGTATCGTTCCTTTCCACTTAGACGCGGGTACTTTGATGCTGGTTCTCTGTAACAATCACTGTCAGATTCGTCCGAAGAAGTTGCCGAATTCTGGAAAAAAGGAGAAAATTGGTTCATATTTTTGAGGTGCGTTATCTTACGAACATGGTACAACATTAACAGCAAGTTTTAAAAAAGATGTTTTCGTCGACAATTATTGTGGGGAATAAATAATAAGTAAAATACACATGGTGTCTCAGAAAAGTTGTCTGGACCCACACCATTTATCAACTTACCTACGCAAAAGTCAATGTCTACTAAGGTATACAAATAATCATGATACTTCGCGAAACAGTGGTCCAAAATTTTCAGAAAAGTTGGCCGTTGGAAAAAACCTATTTTCTAAATTGTTTCTTCTATCTCTATAACCGTTCCTACAAATTCCTGCATTTCAATACATTTTACACTGTATATTTTTAATGCTTAGGAGCCTTACAACTGATTTTTTCCCATTGCAATTTTTCACTGAGATATCCGTACAAAATTTTCGAAATAAATAAGATGACTCTTTTCAACAGCTCCCAAACTTCAATAGGTCATAAATATGGCATTAAAGGATGACATCACCAATGTGTTACTAAATTTGTCCTTATTTTAATTGGTATAACGTAGCATCATTGAAGTGTATAAAAATATGAAAAGCTAAAATTATTTTACGATTTCATTAAACATGGAAAGTGTGAAACGAGAAAATAATATTTAAGGTTGGCAAAGTATACTTCTAACATTAGGTTTTACATTGAAGAAAATTTGTGTTACAAAAAAAAATCACTTATTTTTACGATTTGAATGAGGCACTGAAGAATCCGTTGCCAAAATACGAAAACTTGTTTTTAAACAATTGAAATTCTCGTTGATGTCGAGAATAGAAAATATTGCGACACGAGTATCTTCCAGGTCGGATCATAAATACACACACGTGTATCTGTATGGAATAAAATAGTCTTCATAGTTTATTATTTGTAAATAATAGCTCGACAACAAACCGCGTCTGCAACAAGGGAAATTTGAATGAGAAATAAACCAAACCATATTTTACAACCCATTCAACGCACGTTATTTATGTTTAATTATTTATCACACGTTTGTGGCTTCAGAGATGAACGCTAGAGGCATTCAAATTTTCTAGGAACACAAAACTAAAATGACCGCATTCGTCATCTGATACACTAGTGATATCATTGCATTGGTGCGATTATTAATATTTATTTATTCGTTCCCCAGTCAACCGTTACAGTTAACAACATACACGGACGGCATGTACTAAATTTGTATAAAACGGTGATTTAACTTGTAGGATACGTACGCAAAAAAGCGGAAATGCAAATAGGAAGGTGTGGAATTAATTTTTTTAATTGCCAAACTTTCTAACTGAATTTCAACACCTCCATCGTTGCACTATTTTATTACAGAACCAAGAAAACCAAACGGCACAATCCTTCAAAGAAAACTTACTTGGTTCATTTTGGCGCAGAGGAGCACACATTTTTGGCGGATGATGTTCTCACCACACTCACGGTACACTGACGCAGCAGTATACGCCAACGAAATATGGATCACTTTCACTCTTCTAATTCTTTGTTCACATATTAATGCATTTATTAATTTATTAACTAATAGGGGGCTTTCTCGCACTAATTGTTCGTTAGCGGAGTTTAAGTAATACCAAAGCTGAGGACGTATCGAGCCACTCTAGCGCTTTAGAACGAACTTTCAAATAAGCATCATCATGCCACTCGCATAGTTCCACCGAAACGCATAAATATAATAAAACTATTACTATATTTCTGGTGGGTTCTGTATTCCGTATGAAAATACTGACCCATAATTACATACACGTTACCGGAAATAAGCAACGTACCAAAAAGCGGAAGGGGCGCAGGGGCGCAACAAAAAAATTGATGTAACGGTACTGCCACATTTATTTATTAAAAATATATTTCGAAATAGTGTATGCGTACATTTCTTAAGGCTGCCTTGGCCAGAAATTTATTTGAAAAAAGTCAATTACGTATTTTTTTTTCATTCTTCATAATGTATTATAGCAATTCTTCGCTAAGAATTTCACAGTGGATTTTTTGGTCTCAACGTAGCAGTAACAAAAAACTATCATTATTGAATTTCTTGAATAGGCGAAGTCAGTTGAACATGCAAAAAAACGCATGGTAATAAAATTTAATGAGTTTCATAGGCGTCCCTAATATAGTTTTCGTTTTGTTCCGTTTCAAGAGGTTTCCAAAATGCCATAATGTGATAATATTAGTAAACAAAATATAATAATAATAATAATAATAATAATTCCCTCTTATTTTTCCCTTTCGCAATTGTAATATGAATGATTGATAGAAGGTGCCTATAACAAATTAAAATTACCTGAATTACACCAAATTCCGCATTGCTGCACTGCACTGCTCGGCAATTTATCAACCACTTGTCAACTGCTGAGATTTATTGCCCAGTAGCCCAATGCAACTGTGTTTGTTTTCCTTTGCCCGCGCGCTCATTCTTCAACTGGGCGACCAGACTTGTATATGGGTATGACTAAATAAATATGGGAAATGGGAGTGAAATTGTTGAAAAAAATTCTTATTTTTTGCACATTAATTATGATCTATACTTTTCTGAATGGGAATAAAAAAATGTTTGTCTTAAATCGGCCCATTGTCGCGCCGATTTTGCGTTTCCGAATTCAATTAAGTTTCCCTCCCGTTAGTACGCCACTGCAGGGTGACAGTTACCACCACGTGCAACGGTAGCGGTAAATTACGGAGGGCACAGGGACATTCTATAAATGAATAATTTTCTTACTCTATTTCCGTGCGACATTTAACGATTAACATAAGTTTTGTCCCTATCGATTTACCATCATTAATGTGTCAATGAACTTGACGACGGGTAGAAATCATCCACTAGATGAGAGAGCAGATTTCGGTTATACTTTTTCTTTATAATAAATCAATTACATTATTCTATAATTCATGTGCATTTATGTGTTTGTTTAATTAATTTTATATTATTCATTACCAGTTATTGGTTTTAAATGTTTACGACTTCTTATTAACATGGTGATGAATAATTGTTACTAGGAAGTACTACAATGGCAATTTGTTCTTAGTGTTTTATTTTCTTGTAAATAATTGTTCACTTCGATAAGAGCCACGCATGGTACCGCCCATTTTCCAACGGCGAACAGGTCAACCTAGGATATACCGTATGTGCGTTTTTACTATAATTACATGTTTAGCTTCTCGGCCCAATTTTTTCTGCTTTGTTAAACTTATGATGGTTATGGTACTTGTAAAGTTTATTATTATAAAAATGTACTGTAAAGAATTAAGGATAACTAAATATATTTATTCATTTTTCGAAAAATTTACCACTACATCTAGCGTACGTTTAATTAATATTCAGACAGTGCAAATTATTAGAAAACATATTGAAAAAAAGGTATTTTTTACAGTTTAGAATTTATCGCTGAAACAAATCGGAACATAACAGTTTTTTTTTTCATTATACCCGATGCGGGCTTTTATATCGCTACTAATGAGCTGTCATTTCAAGACATCCGAGAAGACAGTTATTATACCTTCGACTTTCTACGTTTGACAAAAGAAAACTTTTAAGTCCCGATTTACTGTTAGTTAACACACGCGTACTACCGAACAGATCGAACGACACTGATTAGATAACATTGATATATGTGTCAATTACTGAGGTTCGCTTATTGTTTATTATTTAGAAACCGCTTCTATTAAAATTAGCTTCGATTTAGTGTAATAAATTGAACTTTCACTCGAAAGCATATTAAAAAAATTGCCTACGAGTCATTCCGCGGAATAAAAATACCTCTATATTCCACAGAAATACAAAAAAGGCTCTCTAGGTGAACTAACTGAAAACTACCATAAACGACGATTCTGTTAGGTTTTCTCAGCCGTGTGGCTCAGACCTGTTAGTCTGTTTTACTGTTATCGAACTAAATATAACGAATAGTTTATGGTATAGTCTTTCCGAAGTCATTTGAACATGTATAAAAACGCCTAGCAATAAAATTATGAGATTCATAGGCGTCCATAAAAAAATTTTCTGCAAAAGGTAAAAAATTATAATAATTTGTATATAATGTGCAGAAAATTTCTATTATATGTTCATTTGGCCAACAACATATTTTAATTATTTATGTCCTTAGAAAATTTTATTATATTGATGGTAAATTTCGTTTTGTTCCGTTTCAAAAGGTCTCCAATATGCCATGTTGTAATAATATTCGTAAACAATATATCCCTCTTATTTCTCCCTTTCGCAATTGTAATATGAATGATTAATAGAATGTGCCTATCTCGGTGCCTATAATAAATTAAAATTACCTGAATCACACCAAATTCCACATTGCTGCAATGCACTGCTTGAGATCGGAAATACTATACTAGTGGTTTTGACAAATTAGAGAAAATGATTAAAACCAAGAATAACTGGCAATTTAGATAAAATACCAAAATTGCCATTATAACCTAGTATCTCACTGATTTGTGTTTTAATATAAAAATTAAACACAATTTTCGACCTACATCATATAAATTCTCCAGAAGTCCTAAATTTTTGGCCAATTTAGCAGATATTTAATGACGTAATATTTATTTATTCAGTAATTAAAAATTAAAATTTTAGTTATATTTTAGAATTACACTTGGTTTTTAATTTAAATAATTAAAAAAGCTTGTAATTAAATGGACAGTATTTTAGTGTAAATGATTTTGATTGCAAAAATTAATAATACATACTCAAAAGCAAGGTTGGCATGATATATATCAATGATATATATCCGATATATATCATTGATATCTATCACGATATTTATTCCTTGATATATATCATGATATTTATAAAAATTTAAATAATGATTCCTACTGGTTTAAAGCTGCTAAAACTGTTAACAGATGGCAGCAAAACCGTATGCTAATCGTTGATGAACGTGTTTATTTATGTGATTAACGGAATTTTTGTAAAGTAAAATTGAATGAATATTTTAATTTAATTGTTTCTCCTTAACC